GGGGCTGGGGATTTAGCTCAGTGGTTCTGTTGCCTGCCTCACAAGCACAAGGACCTGAGTTGGATATCCAGTACCAAAAATAAATAAATAATGAAATAATTGCTTGTTCTGCTATTTTTTCTTGTTCCTAAGTGCACCTTTGTTTAATATAGCATTATATAAATATTTCAAAATATGGCTAATGATTTTCCATATAAAACCAAATCTAATTATATATTATTATCATTTAGATCTAAATGTCCCCCAAAAGTCTCATCTTTCCAAGCTGTTGGACCATGGGAATGCTCTCTTTTCTGTAGATTAACCCACTGATGAGTTTCTAGCCGAAAGTGCTGTTAAGAGGAGGGGCCTGGTTGGTGGAGGTGTGTCACTGGGGTGTGCCTTTACATGGCACATTTCTTTCTCTGTCCCTTGCTCTGTTTCTTTCCAGGAGGACATAGATGGAGAAGCCCTCCCCTGCCAAGCCCTTGTGCCAAGACATTTGTGCCTTGGAGCCAGCTAGCCACAAATTAAAACTTCTGAAACTGATCTAAAATAAATTCATCCTTGTTTAAACTGTGGGTGTCACGTGTTTTTGTCAAGTGATAGAAAATCTGAATAACATGCTTAGGATGACACACCATTTTTGAAAAGCAAATGGACTATAATTTTATTACAGTACACAGTACAGAAAGGCAAGTTCAGAGGTTTTATATATATGTAATATATATATATATATATGCATTATGTATATACATTATATATATAAAATTCCAATAGAAATTACTTTATCTAAAAAAACACTGAAACTCTTGTTATCCAAATATGAAGTAATATTTACATGCTCAAGAATCACTGAAATAAACAAATATATAGCTTTAACATAAAACTTTTATGTGCCTGGTAATGAAAGTTTCTATATCTAGGCAGGTCGTGTAAGACCTAGCCACAACGTTTCATTTTGTTTTATTGATTACAGTATTCTATTTTTTAACTCAGAGAAAAAATTTTAAATATGGTCAGGATAATAGTCCTCATTTGACTCTTTTTTGTTTTGTTTTGTTTCAGACAGGATGCTCTCGTTAGCTATATTCAGAAATCCATTCTATTTTTCACAGATAATTTTACTCTTATAGTGCAGAAAGAGCACTGAAATTAGGGGCGTCATACACTTTGGCAGACTTCGCTGCTTGTAAAAGTTCTCTGGAAATGTTTTATTGAGGATGCAATATGGGTCTAAGATTTATTGAAAGCTAGGTTAAAAGAACTGAAAATCAAAATCCTGTCCTCTACAGCCACAATCAGAGGGTAGTTCTGGCAGAAAATTTGATGACCAAATTTTAATTCTTAGAAATCTACACACAAAAAAATTAGTTACAGAGCCAGGGATAAAGCTCAGTGGCACTGTGTCTGCCTGGCAAGTGTAAGGTCCTGAGTTTGATTCCCAGTACCATTAAAAAAGAAGAAATTAGTTATACAAATAGGCAGGAATTCAATTCTCAGGACATAGAAACCTGCCATGAACTTGGATTTGAGAGAAAAGTTTGGCTTTGTCAGGCTAGCAGATGATACAGCACTAAGACAGAAGATTTCAGGGATGTGAATGAAAGGAGAGGATACATGCTTTAACCAACCTTTAGTTGGATGCCACTCCAATGGTTAGATGTAAGGCCAGAAGTTTACACAAATGTTCCTATAAAGTGACTATTGTGAAGCTCTCTATTTACTCTTAACTTTACAGTTGTCATTACTATCTCGTTAATTTCAAAAAAATGTAATACATTGTTTTACAATTCCAAACTACATTGATATTATCATTCTACAATAAATACTTCATTACTTCTCTTCAGTTGGCTGTATCACTGCTTTATTACCTTAGTAACAGGTAGATTATTTTTTAAATAATTCAAATCATAAAGATAGCATTGAGTGTTGAGTAGAAAATTTTGCATATCAGAGGGATTTAAGGACTGAGAAGCTAAAAGCAGGCCATTAGATCAGGACTGAAATTACTCAGGACTGAAGCAATGATGACCAATGTATAAGGCTGACGGGGAAGAAAATACACAGCCCAGATCTGTTACACATCAAGAATCCAAAAAGGAACTGTTATCCTGAAATCCTTGCCTAGTTGATTATCTCTCTGAGAAAGTACCCCTTTTCCTTGCCTTCCTAAGGAGGAGTGCTATGTCTTCAATGCGCAACTCCTTATCCAGCATGTACTGAAATATTTGAGCCCCTTGGTAGACTGACCATTTAGCTGGCAGATGGAGCCCGAGTTCTCTAAGACAGTTTTACAAAGACTTTGATATTGCCCCAAGTCCTTGTGGTCATGACTAGATATATAAAAAAAGAAGCACAAAATTTAGACAATATTACGTTAGTTATTTCTCTTATTGAAGGTACACATTCATTCATCCCACAGGCAAACTTCCCCTTTCTTGCCAAAAACTTCTTGCATAAGAAATTTTATTCCCTTTCTTTATCTGTGTACTTTAAAGAAGGAAGAAAGGGAGCTATTTTATGAACTTGAAAGATAAGTAACATGGAAGAGTTGGATAGAGAATGCCTGAAGAGATGGAAACGTGTTTGTGTTGCAGGAATTAAAAGTAGTTTAGTCTTTACTACTCTGTATCTTTTAATGCAAATAGAGAACAGTGAAACATGTAACATAGAAGAGTTAGAGATTTAACACATTGGCTTTCCAGGGCTAGCCCTGCAAAGCTTTTACATCTTTAAAATTCCTGTATGTCGTGAAATGTGATTTGGCTAGTTTCTAAATAATTTTGACTAATTTCCAAATAATTGTTTATGTTTGTATATAATATATTAATGTTAAATTTCTGCTTATCATTTTTATGGATTTTTTTAGATTAAATTATTTTGTCTATTTTTTTTCTTTTTATTGAGTTTATTGGTACATTTTAGGCATACAGTACAGTTGCATTCGTTATTGGGATCTTGCACCTTTGCATGAGAGATCTTGGTTCTCATTTTTTCCCCTTGTCACTATTTTGTCTATTTTTTATGTGGATCACATTTTACAATTTTCTAAAACTTCTAGAAATTATATCCAGGAATTGAGGGCAAAATTTATTTTTCGATTATTGAATTACATATTTCATACTAACTATAGACACCGTCACTGTAATATATATCGAATACTCTTGAATATTATTTCACTGTATATGCATATTTAAATTATTTGAGCTTCAGTGTACTTTTTTTATTCCTTTTATTTTATACAACAAAACAAAACATTTTGCCAACAGTTGGCCTATCCTACTTATTAAAACTTTCGTACAAAGTCTGTTACCAGCTGAGCTAAAACAGCAGCTGTCCACTGGAAATAATTACAGAAATGTTTTTCCCATTGGCCTGAAATCAAACATATGTCTTACTATAACAACTAAATTATAACTTTCTTTATTGATGTGTTAATTACTGAGGAATGTTAATTAAAGTGTTATACACCTGGATTTGTATAACTGGTAAAACATTCTAGTTTTGGGAGAGGTACAGATTTTTATAATTTTAATACCACAAATATTTGATGTAATAAGAGTGTATTTTCATTTAGTACCTTTTGACTGTTTTATTTTATTTGAATACATGACAAAGAAAATGCATAAACACTGAATAAAGAGCTCATTTTCCCCATATCTAATTAGTGTTAGAAACAATTTAGATAGCAAATACTTCTTTCAATGGTTCTTAATCTTCTTTGTGTTTTTATATAAGAGATTATGATAAGCTTCAGAGCTTTCCATGTTTTTCCGATGTAGATTTTTCAAAATTGTAGAAAATAATGTTTAGATTGCATACAAATGCTTGGAGCTGAATTTAGGAATTTAGTCATAGAATAGTGAAGGAACAAGCACATTTTCAACACTCCTTCAAAACAGCACATTTCAAAGTGCACCTAGTTGCTACAGTGCTGCAGATAAGGGTTACAGATTTATTCAGGGAATAATATTAAAGGATATTATTAGATATGTACCTCAAGTTTCCCTAGGATTGAGACCTAATAATGAATATGTTTTTTTTTTCTTTAAAAGTACTACAATGCTTCCATACTACGATATTGCAGTGCTTCCATAGGGCCACTCAGTGTGTCTATTACACTACTCCAACAAACTATTACGGACAGGCTGGGCATGGTGGTGCAGGCCTGTAATCCCAGCACTCGGGAGGCTGAGGCAGGAGGATTGGTGTGAGTTCGAGACCAGCCTGGGCTACATAATGAGTTCCAGGTCAGTCTCAGCTACATAGTGAGACCCTGTCTCCAAAAAACAAAACAAAACGAAACAAAAAAAACCCCGAAGTATTACAGACAGCTAAGTTAGATAGAAATAGTACAGGCAGACAGGGCTTGGCCCTTAAGGGAGTCAGTGCAGAAGATGAGAACAATTACAACTGTGGCTGAAGGGGTATCACTGGAAGGCCAGGCCTCAACATGAAGATAAAATGACCAAGCCTACATGCCTCTCCCTAAGCAATAAATTAAAGATTATATTATAAATGATATCACTTGGTCCACAAAGTCTAGATAGACATCAGTCACCCAGGTGGGTGACCAGAACCTCCCAAGCCATCCCTTTCTAACAAGGTCTTTATTCTTTCCACATATACTTACAAAACGACGTGCTTCCCCACTGGATAAATGTTATGTAAGCAGCTATTCTTATAACGTTATTGGTCTATCATAGCTTTAACACTTGTACCACCTCATGAGTTTGTTCCCATCTTGTGGTTGTGTTCTATAAAACTTCCTTTGAGAAGTGGGCTCATTGGGAGCTCACTTCCAGGCCCCCTTCTGTCTCTCAGGAACTATCCAAATTTTTTTTTTCCTATTCTTATCTCCTCTTGTTCCTTAGAATTCATTCTTTGATTTTAAGGAACAGAAATTTAGTGTATCAGACATCTAGCAGGTTACTTCTCTTATATCAAAAACGGAATGATTTTTTGGCAGTCCAGATGTTACCCCAATTGAGAGAAAAGTGAAAAAAAGATAGCATTACCTTCTGTATAGTAATGACTCCTTCCTGTGTATCTTTGTCAACAGATATCTTAAAAATTCCCAATCCATCACCGTCGACAATTTTGTATTCCATTTCAGCATTTACTCCTATATCTGCATCAGCAGCTTTAATTCGTGCCACAACTGAGGCTACTGGTAATGATTCTGGGACATTATATTGGTAAGACCCTGAAAAATTCAAAATAAGGAATAAACAAAACTTTACCCTAAGGTAACCAAAAAGACAGACAGACAAACAATCATGGATTTGGTAATTCTGTATCAACTTTGCTTAATTCACTGTTATCTTTTAGTAGAGTAGATGCTAAGAATATGAAAGAAGATAATAAGGCAATATGAGACAAATGGAGAGTTTCATATAGCCTCAAGAAATGTGATCATTCTGACTCAATAATGATAACTGTGACAGCAGAAACAGATGGCCTGAGGAAAGACAAGAGAAGATTCACTTTTCCTGTAGTTCTCTACTGGTCAAAAAAATGCTGTCTTTAATAATAAAAAATGTTAAAATAAAATGTAATTAATATAAAAACACCAAAGAAAAATAATTGAATTTAATTAATATGATATGCACAAATAACAAGAGACTAGCTCAGGCTTCTGTTGGACAAATAGAACCTAAATGTTTCTGACAACTTAATGTTGACATTTACTTTGTGTCTTTTAGAAAGAAATTTTTAGGAAACTGGAAAAAGAGGCATGAGTCTATCAGTCTTCTTTTAGCTCATAAATTTGCCAGGTATAAGAATGTGTTTTGTGGATTTTATCTAGAGCCTAGTTAGAGCACAACAGCACAAGAACATAGGCAATCTTATTTAAATAGAAATAATGAGAAGTAAAAAGAAAGAAAATCTATAAAAATTGTTCTCTTTAAACTTTGTAATAATTTATTTTATCACTCTTCAACAAAAACTGAAGCAAGACAGCAAAAACAAAAATGTAGTTTGAAAGAAAGGTAAAGAAGGCAGGAAATGTCTCAGAATATTTTCCTTAACCATTTTTATCTAATAATTTACTTTCTCTGGCATCCTGAATCTTATTCCATTTCCCATTGGTTGGTAAAATGTGGTGCATTTGTTTTTTGATATGAGGAGAGAAAAAAAGATTCTGTTCGAGAGGAATATATAAAAAGGATATGCATCTATATAGAAAGGAAATACATATTTATTTGAAGGCATTATTTAGGTTTAGACTGATACTTGTTGCTCTTATCTAAAGATTGTGTGGTTACACTTATTTTTTAAGTTCCTGCAATATATGCTTACACAATTTTTCTGTGTTGTCTTTCAAACATCTAGTAGTGTCCATCATAAAATTCAAACAGTTTCAAAGTTAGAATAGTTATTAAATTATAGAGAAAAAAATATCAGCAAAAAATTAAAATTTCAATGGCTTATCATGGTCTTCCCCCTTCCTTCACTTTAGTATGTAAAATAGCATCTAACAAATTGGAAACTATCTTAGCAAGGCATAACTGAAGCTACTAAAATTCTTAATACCAATTCTTATCACCCTTGGTTTAAAGAAAGGTTAAACAGTTAATTTTCTTATGAGCCCAAGATAATACATTTTTCTTAAAATCTCTTCCTTTTACTCCATAGTAAACTATCATGAACACAATAAAAGCACCCCCACAGGTTGAATGAAAACCACTGAATAATTTTTCATATTGCAATGCTTGTTTGCCCAACCAAATAAGCACTAAAATATGTTAAGATATCTAAAGAAGCAATTTTGGGGCTAGGGATTTTGTTCAGTGTTTATACTGCCTGCTTTGCAAGCACAAGGACCTGAGTTCAATCCCCTGTACCAAAAAAAAAAAAGAAAGAAAAAAAACTAATAAAGAAGAATTTAATTTTATTTTCTTCATTGAGTTTGTTGGTACATTTTAGGTATACAGTGGTTACATTCATTATTGGGATCTTGTACCTTTACATAACAGGTCTTGGTTCTCATTTTTTTCCCTTGTCCCTGCCCTCCCTTCACCCCTCCTCCCCTCCCCCTTTACAAACACTTTATTTCCATTTTTTTCATTTTCTCATATTTTTCCCCTTATTAGCTTTCCCCTACCTACCCTTCCCACTTTCCCTACACCTTTAGCCCCTTTCTTCCTATTTTACATTGTCTATTATCTCATTAGGATCTTATGTACTATTATAGATTATTCACATCAGAGAAACTATTCGGTATTTATACATATGTGACTTATTTATTTCACTTAGGAGTATATCCTCAATATGTATCCATTTTACTATGAATGAATCTAATTTTTCATTCTTTATGGCTGAGTAACATTCCATTTTGTAGAAAAAACACATCTTAAAGAAGCATTTTTGAAGGAAAAAATAGTTTCTCTCATTGATCATAAAGAATACTTGTTTGATATTATTTTCTTCCTTCTGTTAGTAAGAAATTTAGCTCTCTGGCTGGGGATTTAGCTCAGTGGTTCCACAGCATGCTTTGCAAGCACAGGTATCCAAGTTCTATCCCTGGTACCCCCCCACTAAAAAGAAATTTAATTCTCAATTTTTATAATATAAGCATCTTAAAGGCATTTTAAAGACATCACAGCCTATAAAATGTTGTTAATCTTTTTTGTAATTCTAAAAAAATGCGTGTGAACAAAAAATATATAATTGACTAAATTTTTTCAAAGACCACTAAGAAGAGGCTGAGATGAAATATGTTCTTGCAAACAGAATATTTCTTCCTTGAAAATATTTTCTTTTCCTTCTTTGATAAGTCAAAAGCCACTTGGTCAAAGAAGCTGAAATAAAGGCTTTAGAGTGATTTATTTTGAAAGACTCATTGTTTTCACATGAAACAAGGCAGAATTCTCAAAGAAACATTCAGTATTCATGAACTGGTTAACATGAAATGAAAAATAAAAATTTTATTGCTCCCGTAAATCTTCAAAAATTAAACAGTATGTTTTTGTGTGAGTTGATAGCATATTACTAATGGGTAAAAAGCTCATAATTTAAAGAAATACGTGAAGAGGAGTCTTAGATTAAAAGACTACCACACAAACATAATTAACAACTGTGTAGTATTCAAAATGTGTATGGAAGAAAATTCGCATTGTATTTAAATGAAATAATACAGATATATTATGGCTGTAGTTTTCTTTGGTGCTCTTATTCTTTGGAGTCAGTTCAAATTGTGTCCCTATAAAATTGTTCTGTTTGAATACAGTTACAAAATTAAATCTTTGAGAAATATTTGAAAAAGTCCTTTAAATTTTTTTTTTTTTGGTTTTGTTTTTGTTTTGTTAGGTTAACAAATAAAGTGAATTAACAAAAAGAATAACTTACTTCGAGGAAAGCGAGGTGGATTATCGTTGACATCAGTTAGTGTAACAGTGACTGATGTAGTTCCTGAAAGTCCGCCATTTTGACCAACCATATCTTTTGCTTGAATCACAAGCAAGTACTGGTCTTTAGCCTCTCTATCCATGTTTGGAAGGGCAGTCTTGATGATTCCTGTAAAATTTCAAATCCCAGTAAAATAAATCATGCATCACTCCATTGCAAGAAAAATGAACATTTAGTAGCAAAACTTTCTTCAGTTGTTGTCTTATGTTATTCTATTTACTTTAATTGGAATGTATTTTAAAGACTAAGGAGATATTGTAGTTGTATATAGTACTACAAAACAGAGAAAATAATGTAATGTATTTTCAATATTGTATGGAAAATATTTTTATCTTTCATGGAAATACAGTTTAGGAAATAACTTACTAATAAATAAAAGTAAGCAGTTGTTCAGATTTATGAGACATTATATGATTACATAGCAATGAACTTATCCTTTCTTTTTCATCCTTTCCAATTAATAATAATTTTTTGTCAATTACCAAGATATTAATTGTCAAAGATAAGTGACATACCTATGTTAAGAAAGTATTTTTTCTTTTTTTTTTCAGCTTTAATTGAATTTATTGGTACATTTTAGGGATACAGTACAGTTACATTCATTTATACCTGAATACTCTCAAATACGCACACAAATGCACACACAACAGCAACACATTCTTAAACTGTACATTTCAATTAAAGTTACAGAGTAGGATAACTTGTTACTCCCATTTTATTACCCTGTTTATAAATGGGAGCTGTTGCTATACTCACAACAATATAAAATTTAAGTAACACATTCTTTGAATACTTTTGGCTTCTCACACTCCATTTATGATGAATCTTTGAATATTACATGAAAATGAAAAAGTCATATACCCTGAGTTTACCTGGTAACACTAATACATTAATATTTTTCTCAGGATCATAATTTTTCCAGATATATTTTGTTTGTTCTTCAATATTTATAACTCTAATCTATAGCAAAATAATCACTGACTTCACTAACACTCATCACCCACAAGCATAACATGTGACTAGGAGTTGTAGAATTTAAATACCTCCACCTTTTTCTATTTTCTGTTATGTGCATATTTATTTATTTTTCCTCTTAATCATATTTTCCACTCATTTTAATTGATTAATGGTGTTATTTTGTAAGATTTGTACCTAAATATAAAATATTTTAATCATGTCTTTTATGTTTTTGTATCAGGAATCAAACTCAGGGCCTTGTGCTTGCCAGACAGGTGCTGTGCTGCTGAGTTACATCCCTGGTCTTTATTACAACCATTTCTTGTGTAACATTTTTTTAAACTATCTTTAACATTTGCCCAAAAAGCATGTTTCATCTATATGAAAAAATGTTAACATGATGAATCATTTTAGAAAATTGATCTAGTCATTTGTAATTGTCTCTCACTTGTCCTTCCAATATTACTAAATATCAAAGAGCTACCTACCATCTTTGAAATTTTTTTGGGGAGAGAAGGTCATAGCATTTCAAAAAGCAAGGAAATGAATCATTGCAGCCTTATTCCCTTCTGGTGAGTGTTAGAGGTATTACATTTGAAAGCCTCATTAGGATAGAAATCTGGTAATTACTCACTTATTTTTCACACCTTTAATTGTCTCTTTACAAGAGATATTATAAGCAATATTTTCCAAAGCTAAAATCATCACAAAGTTTGCAAATTAATGCATGTGGTAAAATGGATGCATATTGAGGATATGCCACTCCTATGTGAAATAAATAAGTCACACATATGTAAATACTGAATAGTTTCTCTGGTGTGAATAAACTATAATAGTACATAAGATCCTAATGATATTATTGACAATGTGAAATAGGAGAAAGGGGCTAAAGGTGTAGGGAAAGTGGGAAGGGTAGGGGAAAGCTAATAAGAGGAAAAATATGAGAAAATGAAAAAATGGAAATGAAGTGTTTGTAAAGGGGGAAGGGAGGAGGGGCTGAAGGGAGGGCAGGGATGAGGGGAAAATATGAGAACCAAGACCTGTCATGTAAAAGTACAAGATTCCAATAATGACTGTAACTGTACTGTACACTTAAAATGTACCAATAAACTCAATGAGGAAAAAAATACATGTGGTAATGCAAAGATAATTCAGAAATGCCTCAACTATTAAACACATTTTCAATAGTAAAATAATTGAGAAAAATTGAAATTCAATGAGTATTCAGAAATTATAGTTGCACTGTCTTTGCTAGCTTTACATTTACAACCATCTACATTTGAAAAAGAATTACCTTATACTGAATTTTATTTTCCATGCTTAAATAGAAATATTTTTATATACCCACAAAGAGCTCATTGATAACACTTTATTTCTGAACTGGTGAACATGAGCATTTTTTACTTAGATCCCTACAATCAGTGAGATTTTCAGGAAAAATAAAAATCATAAGTTAATAACAGTCATTTATTATAAAATTAAAATTAAAATACACATAAATTTAAATAATTATTAAAATCATAAGCAAAATTTAAAATCATCTTTTAATGTTTTATTGTCACATTTTAGATATACAATGCAGTTACATTTATCCTAGAGATCTTGTACCATAACTTGGGTATTATTTTTCCCCATTCACCGAGTCTTCCTTCTCCCCTCCACCATTCCCTATTTATAATGACTTTGTTTCCATTTTTTTCCTTTTCTCTCATGTTTTCTATTCTCATTTTACCTTTCCCCTACCCCACCCATTTGCCCAATACCTTTAGACCTTTTCTTCTTATTGCAAAATATCAATTATACATTTTGACCCTAATTTACACATTCAGTTTATCACACCAGGGAAACTATAACCTTCTTGTACACAAATAACAGACTCATTGAGAGAGAAATTAGGGAAACAATCCCTTTCACAATAGCACTCAAAAAAATGAAATATCTAGGAATCAATCTAATGAAGGAGACAAAAGACCTCTACAATGAGAATCACAACACTCTGAAAAAAGAGATCAAAGAGGATATAAGAAAATGGAAAGATATCCCTTTTCCTGGGTAGGAAGAACCAATATAGTGAAAATAGCCATACCAAAATTGCTATACAGATTCAATTCAATCCTGATTGAAATTCCAACAGTATATTTCACAGAACTAGAGAAAACGATTGGAATCATTTTAATGAGAAAAACATCTACCCATTATGTCTTTAGAAAACAAAATGGCTTAGATAATAGATATCTGAATAAGAATTTTTCCATAGATATATCATCTCACTCAGTAATGCAGAACTTCTCATTTTATTTTAATTGATGTTCATAAAAACATTTTGTCCATAAAACATTAATTTATTTTGGTATTGTTCAACAATTATATTGGTTTTAGTCTGGGAAAACAATTCTTATGACACTCAAATGTCTTGTAAGTGCTGCCAATTTCTTTAAAGTATATTTGGTTATGTTGGAATTGTCTTAAATTTTTGGTGTCTATATCATATAAGACAGATAAGCATCATTTAAAAAATTTATCACAATGAAGGCAACCACTTTAAGAGACTGAATTCTGCATACTTGGACTTTGACTTAGCTTCAGCTCTCTGAATGAATTCAAGAGACCCAGGACAGGAGAGTACTCTTTCTAGGAAGTTCAACTCAGTACAACTACATCAATAAACTGATACTAGTTTTTGGTAATTCATATCCAAAATAAAACAGTAAAAAAAAAAAAACAAAAAAAAAAAACAACAACAACAAAGAACTCCTGCTTTCTCAGGGGTCTAACTGAGAAAAAATTCTTCTCTTCACTAGCACCTGAGGTGGATGCATTCAAGCTTCCAAACCATGTAGATCCCCCAATCTGTTCATTGCAATCTTTATTTTCTATAGTCACTCCAAGAGTTGTATGACCATGCAACTAAAAGATTAGAAACATCAATGTCTTCATAGCTTCTATTTATTTAGTAATACAAATCAGGAGATCAGGACCATGAGTAAACTACAGATATTTGTTGCTCCCATTGTAAAAAGTGAATAGATAACCCTTAAGATAGTACTAAGTTGAACAGGAGACTCAGTGCACAATTATAAAACAGTGAAGGATCCATGTATTCTGTCTACTTGCTTTGCTTTCAACAGGAATAAATCAGATGTCATGTCAGCTCCACTGAAAACCATTTCAAAATGGGAAGATTTATGTCTATAAGAACTTGTGAATGAGTATAGCAAATGTAACTGGTAATGAGTTGAATATGTATATAATACATTCAGTCTCTGGCAAAATATATTCTTAATTCTTGAAAATAGCTCAGTGAAACTAATTAAACTCTGGTTTTGGTGATTGCTTCAGCAGCACATATACTAAACTTTGGTTTTGTGTTAAATCAATGACTGTAATATTATTTATTTAGAAATATGGTGCATGTTCAGGAAAGAATTCAAATTCAATTTTTTATGAGAAAAGATACAGCTTCATATTTGAATTCACTGGGATCAGCTGCAATGTTATAAATGAGAGCTAAGTACTCCTCTACCCATTTTCAGGTTGTGTAACAATAATCATGTGTACAAATTCTTTCAGAGTCATAAATGCTACCTTCTTTCCCTAGGAGAGCCACTTCTTACTCTGTCACTAGCATGCTAAAGACAACAAATTATATATACATTACATTATAGCTTGATAATCACTGAAATTTTTAAAATTGAAAAAAATCAACACATTATAGTGTGGAGTTAATTAATAATAAAATGGAAGAAAAATTGGAGAATGGAAGGAGCAAAATATCTGTAGGTGTATATTTACTTGAGAATGAATTGCATTGGGAAAATAGATACAGTTGTTCAAGTAAAAAAGCTATTGGACCTAACACCTTGTGACTTACTTTTGTGTCACAAATTCTCTTACCTATTTGTAAATTGACAGCAAGGAATAAAGGCTAGAGTCAAGTAATACTCCTTCTTACAAATATAGAAAGTGGGGCATGATAAAAGAATACCCTGAACTAAGCAATTTCAATGTTTAAGGATAATAAATATTCAGGGAGCTTGAAAGTGTTTTCAAAAGAACTTCGAAAACAGAATGTTTTCAAAAACATAAATGTTTAAGGCATGCTTTCTTATTTGAAAATACTCCTTAATGAGAGTTTATATACTAGAATATTA